AGATATATTTTTTAGATGCATTTTTTAACTGATGACGAAGAATTGATAAAGCAGCCATCAAGTGTTAGACAGTGTTCCAGGTTATTACTAGTAATGGGAAGTTCGGATCATTTTACCGACTCGGATCTTTGAGTGTGATTTCGTTCATTTTAGCAAAATGTAATTAAAATGTTACGTGTTACTTCCCTAACACATCTACTACTTACGCAAACGCTGATCACACTACAAACAAGACAAAACTATAATGCTATAAGAAACAGAAAATATTAATTCATTGTTTACCTGGATCTTTAGTCTATGCTAGCTCACCTCACCTCTTATCTGACAAGTCTTTGGGTTTGAGTCGTTCGTGCATCACGTGACAGCCCCATAAGCTTAACCAATGCAGTCTGAGCCGGAAAGACAATTGATTAGTTCATCTTTTGAGTCTTTTGAGTTGTTCGTTCTTTTGTCACGTGACGTGACAGCAACCTTCCCAATCCTTACAAACGGGTGCATAGTTTATTTTTATTATTATTATGATTATTTACTCTTAGTTACGTGATGCGTTTCTGGTCTCAAATTCTATTTCAAATACATTTCTTACAGTTTATAAATGTGTGAATTTCTGTCATTATGGTTCTTTTCCTGTGGTAATAAAGGTAATAAAGAGTTGGTTATGCTTTAAATTTTGTCCATATGATGGTGAAATCACTTGGATAAAGCAGAGATACTTGTTTTTTTTTGCATTGGTTAAGCTTATGGGGATGTCATGTGATGAACGAAAAACTCGAAATACCCAAAAACTCGAAAGGTGAACTAATCAATTATCTTTCCGGTGTCCTGACATTTTATCCTACCCGTCAGATTGTCCTACCAGGGTTTACTGAGCATGCACACATCAATATTGCGTCCTTTTTCTCACGCTGAACAACAATATTTAATGTATCTGCATTACTGTAAGGGTAGGTTTAGGGTTGGGGTAGGTGTAGACGTTAATAAACCATAATTTTACAGGTAGTATTTTTCGTTGTCGAATTGTACTACCCACTGTTTTAATGGGAGGTAGCAAAATCGGACAGGGTAGCACAAATCAAGAGAACACCGGCATTGGTTAAGATTATGGGGCTGTCACGTGATGACTCGAAAAACCCGAAGACTCAGAACAGGTTAACTAATTTCAGTAGAGAACCCATAGGATGTTGCGCATGCACGACTGAATGAATCACTCCCCGAGATGACTCGTTCTTCCTGAGTCACATTAAAGATTCGTTAAAAATGAACGAATTGTTCAAGAACGACCCATCACTAGTTATTAGATGCTGAGTTTTTAGGTCCTATAATTAACACCTGTTTTTTCAGAATTTAGCAGTAAGAAATTAATCGTCATCCAGTTTTTTATATTGACTATGCATTCCGTTAGTTTTTCAAATTGGTATGTTTCGCCGGGCCGCGAAGAAAGTATCATCAGCATAACAGTGAAAGCTAACACCGTGTTTCCTGATGATATCTCCCAAGGGTAACATGTAAAGCGTGAAAAGTAACGGCCCTAGTACTGAGCCTTGAGGTACTCCATACTGCACTTATGATCGATATGATACCTCTGCATTCACTGCTATGAATTGATGGTGGTCAGATAAATACGATTTGAACCATGCTAATGCACTTCCATTAATACCAACAAAGTTTTCTAGTCTATTCAAAAGAATGTTGTGGTCAATAGTGTCGAACGCAGCGCTAAGATCCAATAGCACTAATAGAGAGATACAACTACGATCAGATGATAAGAGTAGGTCATTTGTAACTCTAATGACAGCAGTCTCAGTACTATGATACGGTCTAAATCCTGACTGGAAATCCTCACAGATACCATTTTTCTCTAAAAAGGAATATAAATGTGAGGATACTACCTTTTCTAGAATCTTGGACAGAAAAGGGAGATTCGAGATCGGTCTGTAATTAACTAGTTCTTTGGGGTAGCAGACATAACTAAATGCAACATCTTATTTACATAAGGTAAACACAAAGCTGCTTGGTTTATATTTTTATATATGTAATTGTAGGCCTATATAGTACATATTTTAAAACTGTATTGCATACCTGTTGCTGCCATAATAATGACTCATTTCAAATGTTTATGTGCTTTTTTTCTCTTTCTTATTTTTGTTCTTAACAGCTCTCATTCATTGTGGTGGAGCAGTTATGAAGTATTGTTCTTGTAAATACTTTGCCGCATTTCAGTATTTTTTTTTCATGCATGCAGCGAAGTGCAACAGTTACCGTATGGTGCTCAACAGTAGTCAAAAAGGATTTAAACATTGAATTTTGAATTGATTTCTTCTTGTAAACTCAGAGATGAGGAATCATTACGAAATGATTGTTTGCCTTCTGCTAATTCACGCCTGCACACTAGGTGGCGCCGACCAGCAATGCTTTTTTCCTCAGATATATATCTCGTATATGGATTTAACATCGTCCACAGCTTAATTCACAGCATTAAATTAAGATAAATAAAGTTTGGTTCTAAACCAGAAGCACAAACTATCTATAATGCTTACAAGAATACATCCTAAAATATAATTAGAGGTACAATTAGCATCAAGCTACACTTAAAAATGTATGTTATTATTCATGTATTTGCTTAAAACCCATTTTAAACCATCATCAAGTGCTTGTAATAACTTCCGATTGTGATCTATGTTTGATTTTGATTCTATAATAGGCAGGCATGCTCTCTTTGTATGTTTAATGACGCTACACTGCTTATCATTTGTCATAACATCCTTTATTGTTATAAAAATACCATGAGCTGCATACAAAACATATACAGAAAATATATCATCAGAATCATATGTCTATTTGCTTTTATATTTTATATGTAGAAAAATGAGATCGAGAGTGAACGCGCTTTGACTCATAACACTCGCGCATGTGGAAGAAAATGGACAGTGCTCTTCAGGTCACATAATTCAGTGGATAATTAATATAAATTATATTAAGAACACGTGAGAATAAATCTGTTCTCAGATACCAATGATAACAAGAACTCTGCATCCACTCTCTTCTCTCTCGGAATATTCTTCTCCTGTGTTTGTTTACATTTACACTGGTTTTCGAAACAGCGCCACTTTCATCTTTTTGTGCAACAGCAGCTGCTCTGACCATGTGATCTAAGCTCAAATCTGATTGGACGGCCCATTTCATCGCGGAGCGACAGGGAAAAAATAGAAGAAAAAGCAGAAACAAGACATCACATATGTAAGCAGATGCATATGTAAAATAACGCGATCATCAAACATTAAACAGCATATAAATCAAAACTTCCTGACATTACCAAATTAAATGTAAACCCAGGAAAGTATAGGACTGTGCAAGCTTTGGGGCTGTTGATGGAAGCGATCTACCATTAGCAGGTCTTTCATGCCGAGAACTCTCCTATAGTGTGTGCATAACGATGCATTTAAAAGTTAGTGACCAAACGCAGCTTAATAAAAGTTCACAATGTTGTTGCATATTAAATATAACATGGATAACAGTGTCATCCAGTGAGCGGTTTCAGTTTGCAGCCGGTTTCAAGGCAGACAGCTAGCCATTTGAATAAGACCCTCCGAGCCATATACGGATATATTCATGTCTTTTGTTGACACACCCCACGGAAGAGAGGGGTGGGGTGAGCAGTAGCTTATTATCATTTAAAGAGACATGCACCGAAAAGGGTCGCTGTGAACAGAGCTGTTTTTGACAAGGTAAAAAAAGTGTAAAACTTTTTTAAAAGTAAAAGTGTAAAACAGCACCCTTTTTACCTTGACAAAAACAGCTCTGTTCACAGCGACCCTTTTCGGTGCATGTCTCTTTAAATATAGGCTATATTTAGAAATATGACAACAATCACATATCCCACACAGAGAGATTGCACTGTCGTAGTATTTGGGAATATTCACGCATAATTAAAAGAAACAATCACATGATATCAGATATAAAAATCAAACATTTTAGAAAAGAACGCATCATCACGGTTGTTTGAATCAATGAGCATTAATGAGTTGTGTCGTTTCCCATCGTGCTTTGGTCAGCGCAGTTGAGGGAGAGCAGCTGCACTCGACTGCATGGACACAGTACATGTGCATGACCACTCTGACTACAGTAATGTATTGTAAAATAATACTCTTTAATCCTGCAATTTCCTGCTTATTTTTTTAGTGTATGTTGTGCCAAAACACTTAGATTATGACCGAAATCTCAGTTACAATTCGTATCATTTCCAGTAATTTCCTTACCTGCTCAATGGCTCCATTCATTCAATTGTATTTGTGCGCAGCACTTGTTGCTCCCATGTATCTGATGTAGAGTGTAAAGAAATAAGAGGGCAGGGTCTAGATGAAATGTGGTAGCACTTTATTTTACAATTCGTTTACTTCCCTGGTACATACATGGCAAATTTATTGTACCTACAAGCAAATGAGTGGTAACACAAGTTCCCATTCAGTCAGTCACGTTCAACGTTACGTCAGTGACTGACGAATCCCTTTCAGTCAGTCACGTTCTACGTTACGTCAGTGACTGACGAATTGGGATCTCGCCCGAGAGCCCAATCACCTTCGAGTGTAAACTAAACAAGCCAATGACAGTTGGCGTGCGTGTTTCGCCACGCGCACCCCGCCCCGCAGCTCGGGTATAAAAGGAGAGCGCGTGCAAACGCACATCAGCTTTTCGTTTCGGAGCCGAGCCTTCTCAGGACGAATCTCCGCGAGTGTTTGGAAGAAACAGCTGGCGTTGGTGTTACGGCGCGTCAGCGGGGGTTGCCATTCAGTGCTGCTCATCTTCGGCGTGCTGCAGCTGTCATTCTGCGGTCTCGCCGCGACCTCCCCTGGGCGCTTCAGCGCTTTCACTAAAAGAGTGTTTTTCCATTTCTGAAAGAGCAAATTCTAAAAGAGCTTCACGAGCGACGGGCGTCTTTTTAAAGATGGCTTCCCGCTCGTGCGTTTCTGGGTGTGGTCGTTTCCTGCCTTCATCTGACGGTCATGATCACTGCCTCTCGTGCTTGGGCTTACAGCACGCTGAGTCATGATCGCTGCATCTCGTGCCTGGGCTTACAGCACGCTGAAGCAGCGCTCATGGATGAGTCATGTTCTCAGTGCGGGAACATGACCATCGCGACGTTGCGGTCTAGATACCTCCTCATTAAACGGGGGGGTATCCCCCTTGCCATGCCCCGCTCTAGCTCCTCTGGTTCTCGGAGGGCTACTTCGGTTCATGGTCAGGGAGACCTGAGGGTTACGGTGAGAGCTTCCCCGTCGAGTACGTCTCCGCGGGCCTCTCATTCCTCGAGCATGTCGCACCACCTGGTGCTTCCGGACGAGCGTGCTGGGTCCTCGGACAGGGCGGGGTCCAGCATCTTGTGCGCGGCACAGGCAGAGGACAGGATGTCGGTCGCTGCATCGGAGGGCGAGCTAGGCTCTGGAGATGAGGATTCGGCTGCGCTGCCACCGTCAGGTAGAGTGGCGTTGCCCGAGTCAGATCCAGAGCTGACCGCTATGCTTTCCCGGGCCGCTGAGAGCGTCGGGCTGCACTGGAGGCCTCCGCCTTCTCCCGAACGCTCGAGGCTGGATGATTGGTTCCTGGGGGCGCAGGCCGGGCGTCGGCAGCCGCCTCCGGTTCCATTCTTCCCGGAAGTGCATGAGGAGGTTACTAAGTCTTGGAAGGCACCTTTTTCTGCCCGAAACAGACTTGGTGCCTCCTCCGTCCTCACCACCCTCGACGGGGGGGCGGCCCAAGGGTATGTGGACATCCCTCCAGTCGAGCGCGCTATTGCCATGCAGCTCTGCCCGCAAAGCGCCGCCGCCTGGAGAGGTAGTCCACGCCTTCCGTCCAGGGCCTGTAAGTTCTCGTCCGCGCTGACGGCTAAGGCTTACAGTGCTGCTGGACAGGCCGCTTCCGCCCTGCACGCCATGGCCCTCCTGCAAGTCCACCAGGCCAAGGCGTTGAAGCAGACATCCCCCCAGTCGAGCGCGCTATTGCTATGCAGCTCTGCCCGCAAAGCGCCGCCGCCTGGAGAGGTAGTCCACGCCTTCCGTCCAGGGCCTGTAAGTTCTCGTCCGCTCTGACGGCTAAGGCTTACAGTGCTGCTGGACAGGCCGCTTCCGCCCTGCACGCCATGGCCCTCCTGCAAGTCCACCAGGCCAAGGCGTTGAAGCAGTTGCACGAGGGTGGTGCTGACTCGGGTGGGCTGCAGGAACTGCGCACGGCGACGGACCTCGCGCTAAGGGCGACGAAAGTCACGGCGCAGGCCCTGGGTCAGACGATGTCCACATTGGTGGTCCAGGAGCGCCACCTATGGCTGACCTTGGGGGATATGAGGGAGACCGACAAGCATTGCTTCCTGGACTCCCCGATCTCCCAGGCCGGCCTATTCGGCGAAGCGGTGGAGGGCTTTGCCCAACAGTTCTCCGCCGCGCAGAAGCAGACGGAGGCGTTTCGACACATCCTGCCCCGGCGGTCTGCTGCTGTCTCCACCCCACCGCCAGCTGCAGCCCCTCTGTCTGCTCGTCGCCGAGGGCACCCTCCTGCGGCCTCCACCTCC